CGAGGGTGATTTGTCTTCGATCTCCCACGTAAAGAGTGGGCCAGGCTGCCCTCCTCCTCTGATCTATGCACTAACTCGATTGTTTTGAGTTCAATTTTACGCTTTTTAAATGCACTTCAGTTTGAGTTGGTGAGAGTCAATAAGCCTCTCTCCAATGATTTAAACTATTTTTCCGTTCAGTCCTTTTCATGTGTAAGTTTATTCTTTATTGATAAACTCAATGACCGTGTTCTGTGTTTGAAAATGTAGCTTTTATTATTATTCAGATACAGTGAGGCCAACAGATCAGGAGATGACTATCGTTGAAAGACAGTTTGTTACTCAGGGTTCCGGGAGCAGAGCGTGGACCACACCCCGGGGACCAGTCTGGAGGCGGAAGGAGCCGTTATGACGGTCTGCGGGAAAGGACGGGCGAGGCAGCCGACCGCATTCAGGGTTGACTCGCGTGAATAATTTCAGAGGGTTCTCAAGCGTAGGGGCTGCTTCTGGTTGTCTGGTAGCTGGCCCTGGGGAGACTGGGGCAGGGAGTTGGTGGCCCTGAGTAGAGAGCCCAGCAGAGGAGGCGGTGGGAGTGGGCGCGCTGGATTGGTTAGTTTGCAGGTGAAAGGCGCTGGCTGGCGGGGAATCCTTTATCTCTAGGAACTGGCTGGCCCTGGGAGGGGCCGTCTCTCCGGGGTCTGCTGGCCTCAGATGTGGGAGCATCAGAAATACCAGAAGTTAAAAGGCATATTCCATCTGCCATGCACTGTGCTGGAACCTAGTAAGTTGGTAAGACCAGGCCTCTACCCTGGAAAAACTTACATTCTAGAAGGATCGAAGGGCATGTGAAGAGCTAATCTCAATATAACTTGGCAAGTTCAGTACCAGGTTGTGGTAAAGACAAGATGCTGAATCCATTGATGTGTTTAAAAACCCAATTTGAGTGGACAGTCTTGGAAACATGGTGATGTCCTAGGATATTTCAAAGCCAAGCCATTAATTACGTACACTCGTCATCAAATTATTTTCTGTATCGTTTCCTGAAATACTTTATCAGTTATCAAATATACACTCTTATATTTAACTAAAAATCTTAAAATCATGAAACTTTATGACTAGAAAAGTCTCATCTCCTCATGCAGATGAGGGACCCGAACCAGAAGGCTAAGTGACGTTCCCAAAGTCACAGCTGAGCCTCTTCGCCAGGCCATAGCTGGCTCCAGTGTGCAGATGATCCCAATCGCAAGTTAAACTCACTTCATCTACGTGCTGGCCAGGAGCCGTGCCGCCCTTGTTGTTTTCAACTTTTCAGGGAGTCCGCCATCCACATATTCGCAGTTTTCTCCCCTCCTCCGGGGTCATACCCTGTCTTGCCACATTTTAGCAACATAGCCCTGGTCACTCAATGGGCACTTACGTCGGCCACCATCTGACTTTCCCTGATGGTGAGAAAGCAGCACAATTGGCTTATGTTAATGGTTTTACTCACCACCCGACTGGAACAAATGTAGTCTTTTCTTTGCATCATTTCTTCTATGTGTTGCAATCTGACATGCTTATAAAATTTTGTTTACTGCGCTGGAGAACTGAAAGCATATTCGGAAAGCAAAACACAGGTCAGTGCAGTGGTTTGTAAGCACAGATCATTTCCCACGTGCAGCTGCTGGAGGGTTTCATCCCACAGCGAGCCGTGGAAGAGGACTGCGTTTGGACTGACGGGTTGGAGACCGAGGAAGGAGATGCATGTGTTGCCTCAGTCTTTCTGCTGGCTTTAGGGTGTGTTCATGTACTATATCGTGCCGACTTATTATTTTCTTCAGCCTTACTCTTACCATTATCATCCAGTTTATAATTGCTCTTAATTCTTTTTTTTTTTTGAAGTACAAGTTCTATAAAATAAGCATGCTTGAAAAGTATTCTGTGACATGCACATGGGTTGGTAGTTGGGGCTACATGAAAAAGAATTTCATGGTCAGATAAGTTTAGTAAATGCTGAATTAGACAATGTTAAACACATTTCTTTTCTGCAGGACTTCCCAGGGCCTTAAATAAGAAAATGTGAGTTGTAAGCATCAAGGAGTGAGATGAACATGTAGCATTTTCCAAATCTGTTAGGCCGCACATCCTTCGCTGTTTGTTTTTTCATGGGAAACATATTCTAATGTAATACGTGGAGGATAATAAATATTTTAAAGCACCAACTATGTGCAATACACTATAAATCAATTTTTAAAAGTAAAAAAATGCATTTTTTGCAATCAAGCAGTAGTCAATTTTCTAGATAAGGAACTAGGCACAAATGCCTTTGGTATCCAGTATGAGGAAACAATGTAGAAGATATTACAAGGTGATAAATGATCAATTGTCAAATGAATGAGATTAAAACTTTCTGAGTACAGAGATGGGAGAAACAAACAAAAAGAACACGATTTTACAGGTGCTCAAGGCGAGGGACCAGAGATACAAAGCACACAGAACGTGATTGTGTGTTAAGGAAGTGGATGACCGAGGGGGAGAGCCAGGGCCCTGCGAGACAGGTCAGCGTGGCCCAGAAGGTGTGAGACCAGCACTTGTCAAACTATGTGCAGTGAGTCGCCTGGGACTCTGCTCCGAGTCAGTAGATTGGGGGCGGGGTCGAGGCTCTGCGTGTCTAGCAAGCTCCGGGTGGTGCTACTGCTGCTGGCCCAGGGACCACACTTCAGTGAGGGGCGGGAGCTGGCAAACTGTAAAGGTCCACACAGTCGAGATTTGGGGCTTTAAGGGACGCTTTGTGTGTCGCCTCTTCTTGTGGTCTGTGTCTGTTGTGCAAGCGGCGCCAGAGACTATGTGTATGTGTGTGGGTGTGGGTTTTTTCGAAAAAACTTTTTTTTTTGGCTTTTGACTTTTTTTTATTTTTTTAGTTCCCAAATTTTTTTTTTTTTTTGATTTTTTTTTCTGAACATTTAGAAATATAAAAATCATTCTTAGCTTGTGGGCCGTATAAAAACAGTCAGCGTGGTCTTGCTGGCTGTACGTTTGCTGAGTTAGAGGACAAGACACTAGTCACTTAGGTGGTGGCGGAAGCTTTCCTATGAAGGTCATCTAACCAAAAGAAATTAATCTTTCTTTCTCTTAAACCTCCATTTTTTCATGATTCACTTTCCCTGTAATTGCGGTTGTATCTTTTCTGTGGAAGGTAAAGACACCAGTCAGTGGTACAGACTACCCCACTGGGTCGGCAGGCAGCGCGCTCTCTGTGCCTGGGTCCGTGGCGCGGTGCTTCCCTGCGGGAGACGCTCTGCGTGCGTGTGTTGGGTTGAATGTGATCTGTGGAAGCCTTTGGCGTGGCCGTAAGGAAGAGCGGGCCCTAGATGGGACTGATGCAGAGGGAGGGCAAGGAGAGGGTTCCCGGGAGAAGAAACTGGGCAAAGAAAAGCGGGTGAGTGATCGTCGAGGGCTCTGTAAGGAGCGGGGAGTCCACGCAAGTGTCTGACAGACGCGGGGTCCGGAACAGGAACGGGGTAGAACATACAGCCAGGGCCACGTTACATGAAAGGCCTCCACGGCCGAGCTGCAGCTGAGGGAAGGATGCTGGAGGGAAGGGTTTCAACAGCGCTAGTCAGGTGGCAGAAGAGAAAGCGCCGTGTCCTACTGGAGGTCGAGAGAGAGGTCAGTTAAAGGACCAAAGCCAGTGAGTGCTCATGGTGAGGCTCTGACGGTGGCTTTGGAAGGAGAAGGGACAGAAGGGACTGGCAGGTGGCTCCAGGCTGGAAGGATCTCCAAGGCTCTAGTGCCCCAGGACTAAGAAACACTGCCCCCCTCAACTGCCCCCCAGTAATGTGGGTTTCCTTGCATAGAATTTTCTCCGTCGGCTGGTTATCGTGTGTTCTTTAATTCCCAAAATCACATCTGTTCTTTTGTGAGTATCCCGGATTTAAGTTTTATTGTGGGGTTATCACTCAGAATATTAGCAAACGCATTGCTTCATTAATGTTATTTTCAAATTAAATACAAATATTCCTGCATTATGCTACTCTAGATACAGAAAAAACTTAGTAAGTCTTCACTGTTACAGGTTCACAAAAGGATGCGAAGTGGAAAAAGTTTTGTAGAACATTAGACCTAGAGAAAATCTCTAAGAGCTAAGTAAGAGCTCGGTGGACATCATCATCCCAGAGCCTTCAGTCCTCTTAGTTATAAGTGGCACATTCCTACAACTTTCTTGAAAAACAAATCACATTTGGTTTTTTTGTTTTTTTAAGTGCAGCTTCAGTTTGTGTTTTATTTCGTTTGTTTTGTTGGTAAAATGTACAGGCAGCCACATGCCGCTGTTTGCGTTTGTGTTTGCGTTTGCGGTGCTGGGAGGGGAGAGGGGGCGTCACAGGGAGCCTGCGGCCCCCACACCCAGGGCCTGGGTGTTTGGAAGGAAAGTGCTGACCAGCAAAAATGAGTTACAGCCCACCTGCTACAGCCCCACATCCTGCAGGCCAAGGCAGTCTGCTAGAAAGTTTCATAAATATCAAAAAAAAAATGTGGAAGGCGTTAAATCTGTTACTGCTCAGCTGATCAGAAGACTTAGGGTCCACAAAAATACTGCTGCCTGTGGCCGTTTAACGTGGTGCTAAGTTTCCTTGAATACAGCAAACATTTTAAGCATAATGGTTATATTACTTTTATATTTTTCTTAAGAATAATAGATAAAATTGCAATAAATGTGGGAGGCATTTATTATAAAACATTTTCTAAAACCCTTTGAATTTCTGTTCCTTTTATTTTTTAACTGAAATGATCTGAGTTTGACGATGTCCCTTGTTTCCAGGTTGATAAAATGTACATGATGCTTTACAAAGAAAACCCGTGGGGATTGTCTAGTCGTTAATGCCACGGTCTAAACAGAAGAGTTTCTGTCGGTAACATCGACACAGATCTTTTATTTGTAATCCAACAAGAACCTCCCTGCTAGCATCCCGCCTGCAGGTCTGCTCTGTGGCATTAACATCACCGTTTCCTTTCTTTCTCCCCGACCTCCGCTGGGCGCGCAGATGGTTCTGTGAGGGGAAGGAGCTGCACGACTCTCCCGACATTCAGATCCGCGGCGACGGTGGGGACCTGCACACCCTGGTCATCGCGGAGGCCTTCGAGGACGACACAGGTCGCTACACCTGTCTGGCCACGAACCCCAGCGGCTCGGACACCACCTCTGCCGAGGTGTTCGTTGAAGGTAAGGGGGCGTGTGGTAAAGGAGGGCTAACGGTCTCAGAGCGTGAGCATCACAGGGCGTGGTCGCGAAGGTGTTTTCCGATGCAAACATCATAGTGTGTGATTCAAACCTCCTTTCTCGCAAAAAACTTCGTGAATACATTGAACAGTTGTGACACTTAGGCACACATCCATTATCTCTAATGTCAGCATTTGTTCCTTTTAATGTAAAACATTTCAGCTATGTTAACTTAAATTTATTTAAAATATAGAGTACCGAACTTATTTTTATCTTTCCCTAGTAAAGGAAGTATGGGAACATGATCGAAATACCATAGCAACAAAAGTTGCACTATAAATGATTTAGGAAATCATTCATGGGAATCGTAAGTGATTGAATATTTTTTAATGCTCTCAGTTTTACTAAATTCTAGAATTTTGCCCCTTTTGTTAAGGCTCCATGATTCCTGCTAAATATACCGGGAACTTGCAGTTGCTAGTCACACTTACATATTTCCATGTAAGATACACTTACATATTTTCATATAATAAAAGCAGTTATTTCTCTGCCTCTGAAACCAGTTCCAGTATCTAACTCTGGGAGACCCCAATACTCACAACACTCATCTTTAATTTTACTTAATTGAATCTGGTTCTTCAATAGAAACTTCTGAAACTGTCCGTCCTCTTCTGCCTTTGAAGTCATCGGGATGAGCTGTTCTGTGCGGGAACAGCTCCCCTTGGTTCTGTGTGTTCTCCACGCCACGCCTCCTCCACGCTCAGGACAAAGAAAGCACATGTGCCCCCGTGTACGGTTTCCCGCGTGGCACCACCGGACTAACCTGGCCACCGGCCAGCCAACGGTGCCTGAGACTGTAGGTGGCCTGTGAGTGCCACTTCCGTGGACTGCAGGAGGGAGCCGGGCAGGGCAGGTTGCAGAGCCGCTAAGGCCCCATCCCCTGAGCCGGGTATAAGGCACTTCAGGAAACCACCTCATTGGCCTGTGTGACATATGGATAATAATTTTTTAAAAAATGAAAGATTTTAGTGCATTTTTCCCCCAAGAATAATTACATGAAATGAGAGAGACTCTAGGATAAATTCTCGGGCTCAAAGTAAGACGTTGTTATATTCTACTCATTCCAGCACTGACAGACTCCGTCACCTCCCTGTGGCCTTGTTTCCCAAACGCGTTGCTGGTGCTGTACCAGCGTGCGGTCACTGAGCCTGAAGGAGGGGGGGACGTTCTTTGTAGAATTTAAAATCTCAACAAAACCTTCCCTAAAAGTTTAACAAGCTGCTAGTTAGAAACTGCCTGAATTCCACTGTCTTTTATGTCAGGTTTTAGAAGGATACAAAAGAAATTGTAGCTTAAGAACAATAATGAGAATTCAGAATTAAGTAGCAGCCAAGCTCTGTTCTTCATTTTTGCATAGATTATCTCATTTCATCCTTACAAAAGTCACCCCATTATATAGTTGGGGAAACTGAAGTTTAGAGAGGCTAAGTCACGCCCGGGGTATCTTCCTCCCCGTCCTCTTTCTGTCTCCCTCTCCCCACCCCCATCTCCCTCTCCCTACCCCATCCCATGCGCATGCGTGCACACACACCACACACACACCACACACCACGCACATACCACACACACACCCCCCTCAGAGTCAAAGATTCAAACCCAGGCAGGCTGACTCCGGAATCTTCTCTCTCTAACCGACAGAATAAAATGCAGATAAACTCATCATCACTGGGGCAGCTACGATCCTTGCCTTAATCTGGTAACAGGATTAGGACGTGAGCACATAGCCGAGCATGTTTTGGTCATTCTCAAGTCTACGTGGGGCAGGCAGTGGTTCGGACGTGGGCACAGCGGTGACGAGCCAGGTGCTGCTCTTGCGGTGCTGACACGGAAGAGGAGGGACAGTAAAGTAGTAAACTCGTGAGCAGTTCCAGGCACGGCCAGTGCTGTGAAGGACGTAAAGGGGCTGGCGGGATAGGGTGACAGGGAGGGCCACCCCAGAGCGATGACATTTGCTCTAAGATGGGAACCCTGAGAAAGAGCCAATAGGGAAGACCAGGAGAAGAGTGCTCCAGGCTGGGCCTGCGGCTCACGCCTGTGATCCTAGCACTCTGGGAGGCCCAGGCAGGAGGATTGCTTGAGGTCAGGAGTTCGAGACCAGACTGAGCAAGAGTGAGACCCCATCTCTACTAAAAATAGAAAAATTAGCCGGGCATGGTGGCGCATGCCTGTAGTCCCAGCTACTCAGGAGGCTGAGGCAGGAGGATAGCGTGAGCCCAGGAGCTAGAGGTTGCAGTGAGCTATGATGACACCATTGTTGTCTACCTGGGGGTGACAGAGCAAGACTGTGTCTCAAAAAATAATAAAAAAGAGTGCTCCAGACAGAGGGAGCATGCAGAGGCCCTGCTGGGGAAGACCAGACGTGCTCAAGCAGCAGGAGGATGTCCAGGTACCTGGGGCATCCCAGCGCAGAGGCAGCTCGGAAGGTTGCACCTCATCCTAGTTAGGTGGGACGTGGGGCCTCATGGTCACTGGTAGCAGTTTGGCCTGGATTCTAAACGAAATCACAAATCATGGAGAGTTTCAACTGACTTGTAATTTTAAACTGTTGCTTTGGCTTGTAACCGGGGAGACCAGTTGGAAGCCTATTGCAGCAGGACAGAGGAGAGACGATGCTTCAGGAAGACACAGCGTTGAGTGGGAGAGAGAGTCAGGGTCAAGCTGGAGTCCAGAGGTGGATCCAGAAGCTGCGGTGGTCGGACAGGAGGGCGAGGGGACGGAAGGGACCGGGTGTGTCTCTGTGGGTTCAGCCCTACCATCTGCGTGGCCCACACTGCCAGTCTCTGCAGTGGGGCAGACTGAAGAGGAACGGACGGGGGCCCAGAGGCAATGCGGGCTCTCTTTTGAATGAGCTAAGCTAGAATCTGTCTGGAGGGCCAGGTGGATGTGTCAGGTCAGTAGCGGAACATTCGAATACAGAGCGCAGAGCGAGGAGACTGTTGGGGAGCACGGGATGTTGATGGCAGCTGAAGCCGTGGGACTGGCCCTACTGCCGGAGAGACCAACCAGGGAGAAAGGGGACAGGGAAGGGCAGGGCCTGATCTGAGCCCGGGACACCCTGCACGTGGCGTTGCACGAGGAGGAGTCGCCAGCAAAGGAGGTTAAGGAGGAAGAGCCCGGGTCAGAGGGGAGCCAGGCAGAGTGGTGCGGGGACGGCGGGAGAAATCGTTTCCGAAGGCGGGGTTCGCGCTGTGTCCACGGCCAAGGATCCAGCCGGAGGAGCACGAGGAGGGACCCCCTGGATTGGCACCATGGGACGTTGTGGGTGATTTTAGAGGGGAATTGAGGGATCTGGAGGGGTACACAGACCGAATGATACGGGGTGAGGAGAGTAGTGACACGGAAGGAGAAGCCGCAGACATTTAGCAATAGGTACTTCTTGGGAAGTTCTACGGAGACACGCCCGTGTGTGGAAGGAGGGTGGGCTCGAGAAAGGTGGTTTTGTGCGGTTTGCGCGTCAGGCGGGAGTTGCTAGAGCACGTCAGTGCGCGATGAAAATGGTGCGAGAGACAAAACAGATCCTGCAGGCGGGAGGGAGGGTGAGATGCGAAGTCTCTAAAAAGGGGAAAGGCCGCAGAACCTGCCCCCGTGTGCGCCGGGGCGGGGCCCTGGAGGCCTAGCCGGCAAGGAGACGTTTTCGAGAATTTCCTGCGCAGACAGCAGAGATCAGCGTGAACACGCGGAATCAGTGCAGACGTCTCGCATCTCCTCACTGCCTCCCTGGGGACCGTAAACTGGATCGCAGACCCCTGCAGCTTTGCGAGCTCCAGAGAGGGCGGGAAGGAAGCTGGGTCCCACCGGCCCTGCGGCTAGGGCGCATCGGGGCCAGGGGAGGGGAGGGCAGGGCACCATGGGGGACGAGTGTGGTGCGTCCTGTCGACACAGGTTCTCAGTGCTACGAGTCGGCAGGTAAGATGTGCGCCCCTGCAGGTGATGTCTGAAGCGGCTCTGATGTGCTGGGTGTAATGGCTCCAGCTGACCCCAGGGGGACGCCGGGACCACTGCCGCGCCCCTCTTCTGCTTTGCCGGATTTTGAGAAGCCAGAGGATCCAAGCATAGCTTTGGCCATTCTTCACAACATTTATCTTCAAATAACTTCTCACAGTGCTTCATGGCTACCTCAGTTCCTCGTTCCGTGACCTTGAGCAGTTATCCAGCGGCTCTGTGGCTCCGTTTCCTCACCTGGAGGTGATTAGATTGTCGTAGGGTCGCATGAGCTAATCTCCTGGAGCGGAGTCTGGCACACGGTGTGGGCTATTGCTGCCATGACAAATATAGCACAGTTTTAGTTCTAGAAATGAAAATATAGAGATAAACGGAAAATATAAAAGCCACGTCCAATCGCACTGCCTCGTGATAGTCACTCTTAGCATTTCGATCTTTCCAATCTTTCTCCTGCACGTGAGTACATGTATTCTTGCTCTGTAAATTCTTTTGTTCCGTGATTTTTTTAATTTAACCTGTTCTGTCACTAACATCTACCCATGCCATCAAACATCGCTTAAAACTCATTTTAATTGAATTGATGAATCCTTTATAGTCGTTCGTCATTTATAAAGTGATGTGTCATTGACGTTGCTTCAGTTACTCTTGACTGTGAATGGTTCTAGCTGTGCCGGCAATGACAGCAGCTGGTTTAAAAGGGAGGGAGAAATAGGAATGAGAGATAGACCACATTTACTCTTAAATATTAAAAGGTAAAACAGGTACAAAAGGATAAATTCCATGACTCAGGTCAGTAAAGACACTTAGGGATTTAAAACATATACATATATATATATATATATATATTTTAATAGTTGATATCTACTTTTATGAAGACCTCCTATTTCCTGAGACCGAAGGTATATGATTTACATCTAGTTTTTTGCCACTCGGAAGTATATATATATTTAAATTAAGGAAGATATCAGATAGACAAAAATAATTAGAACATAGTGTTTTCATGATTGTGGGGAAATGGATGTTTCGATATATTGCAATTTTATCTTTCTGGGGAGATGCAAAAAAAAAGAAAATAATATATCCAGTAATAATGGAATGATAAAATTATGGTAAATCCACACAAATTTGAAGCAGCCATTAGAAAATCATAAAGTACATGTTTATTTGTTGACGTGGAAAGGCATTTCACAATGTATTAAGTGTGAGGGGAAAGCAATAATTGAATAGCATGCAGAGCATTGTCTTACTTTTAAAAATATATTTATCATCTGTGTACACAGGGATAAACTTTGAAAGGATATACTCCGAAATATCTGAGTGGCGGTATTCCAGATGACTTTTTTCTTTAATTCTTGCTTTTGTGTATTTTCTGGATCTTTTCTTAAAAGAAAGTATTAAATTGGATAAGTATTAAAAACGAAAAGGGAGCTCCTTTTAAAGTGAAGACGGGAGGCTTGTTTGTGTGACTCTGCACTGGGCCCCCTGCCAGGGCGTGGGGCAAGATGAGGGGCGTGCGATGCCTTCACTCTAGTGCAAGAGTTGAGGATTTAGGAAAATGGGGCAGGTAACTATCAGACAAACAGATGATAGTAGCTGCCAGGACTGGAATGTGTAACTCTTCCAGATTGGAGCCTACATCAAAATCTGAAAGCGATGGTTGGTAAATAGGAGGAGAATGTTAACCTGAGACAGGAGTGCTTTCTCCCCGTGGCAGGTGCAAGGAGGATGACTGGCGGGAGGACAGGGTGGGGGAGGGGAAGAACCGCCCCAGGGAGGGCAGGGAGCCGGCTGCACAGAGAGGGAGATTTGATCTGCTGCCTGCTAGAGCTGCTCGGACACCTGAGCCAGAAGGTGACATTGAGATTTCACAAGGGTTGGACAGGTGCGCGAAAACTAGCAAGCGTGTTCTTGTTCGGGGGACAACCTGTTTGGTCCTTTACCTTTCTCTGAAAATCAGCTAGAAAAACGCAGCAAGAATGGCTCTCTCAATGGAGGTCGTCGGAGGATTTGTGTGTGTGTGTGTGTGTGTGTGTGTGTGTGTGTGTGTGTGTGTGTTTGTGCGCCCATGCACGCGATGATTTCAATGTTTGGAATCAGGTGAAAAATAGCTGTTTCTCTCCCCAGTTTTTGGCCACTCTGAGAGTGTCTGTGATAACTTCCATGTGGTTTTTGCCTCCCGTCTCCTTCTCCCAAACACTTTTATGACTCCAATAAAACGGTCTCTTGGGTGACCCCGACCTTCTGATGGCCAAGTCTTCACGGGCTTTTCCCTGGCATTCCCTGCTCAGCTCTACCTGCCCTCGTCACAGTTAAAGGTTTCCTTGAGTATAACCTATTTTTAAGGGTTTGTTGTTTGTTTCGTCCTGTTTTTTCCCTCCTACTCCCCCAGTTAACCCTGCACAGTTAATTTCCCCAGCCTCACACTCGATGCCTCAACAACCAAGTCCAAGCGCGTGGGCCCCGGGTTCCAGATCCCGCACGAGCGTCTGGCCGGGCCTCCCAGCACGCTGCTCCCCTCTGGTCACACGGTCCTCTCCCTGTCCCCACACGGGCTTTGCCGTCGTTCCCCAGCTCCGCTCACTGACCCCAGCAGAAGCGAAAGGCCTGAGGAACACGGGCGTGCACGGCACAGGAGGGTCGTGTGGTAGGAGGGAAGGTCACGGACCACGAGTTCAAACTACGCGAGTGCACTTCCTGTCACCACTGCTTTCAAGTTATGTGACCTCATGCGAATTACGTAACCTCTTGGTTCCTTGATCTTCTTATCTGTAAATTGGAACTCACTTCCTACTGGGGTTCACCATTATAGTAACTAAATGATGCAGAGCACCTAGCAGACAAATAGTAGGTGGTCAAAAGTTGGTAGTTCGCTTCCTAACCCCACCTTCATTCTCAGGGAACTAACAATTTTCTGGCAGGTGTGGTACTATAGGTGACATGGGTGGTATCAACAGGAACACTGGGAGTTCAGAGAAGAGAGAGCACAGAACAATGCCTGGCTGATCTTACAAGAGAGGACATCAGGAAAGACTGGAGGCCGAGGCAGGAGGATCACTTGAGCTCAGGAGTTCGAGACCAGCCTGAGCGAAAGTGAGACCCCGTCTCTACTAAAAATAGAAAAATTAGCCGGGCATCAAGGCGCACCTGTAGTCCCAGCTACTCGGGAGGCTGAGGCAGGAGGATCGCCTGGGCCCAGGAGTTTGAGGTTGCGGTGAGCTGTCATGAGGCCGCTGCACTGTAACCTGGGTGGCAGAGCGAGACCTTATCTCAGGAAAAAAAAAAAAAAAGAAAGAAAAGAAAAGACTGGGTAGGAATTTCCTAGGGAGCAAATACTATAATTAAAGGTACAAATATGGAAAACAAGCAAAGAGGGAAAGCCCCACCTCCTCCGAGTCCGGGAGCCCTGCTTGCCGCCCTACTTAAAGTTGCAACCCCTCCTGCCACGTGCCCATCACTGCCTGCGCCCCTGCCCCGCTTAACGTTTCCCCGGTTCACTCCCCGCCATGCCGAGTATTTATTTCTCGTCTGTGTTCTCACACGGGCAGAGTGTGTGGGTGTGTGTGCGTGTGTGTGCACACGCGTGCACGTGCGTCTTCCTCGCCGCATCCCCCTGCCTATGGAGCACACACACCAGCAGGCTCAGCTCTGTGGCTCGGGGTTCTGTGATTTGCAAGTGCAGGAGCTTCTGGCACATAAAGCTAGAAAACCACGTTAGAAATCATGAAGTCCGTTAAATGTCGGGTTTGGGGATTTTTAATTTACAGAGTGGAGACTCAAATCATCTGCTTTTTTAACAGGAAAGGTGTACTCCAGGAACATGAATCTGATGTAGCGCAAAGGTGAATTTGGAAGGGAGAGAGAAGGGAAGATAAGAGTCTATCGTGGCAGCCCAGGAACCAGGCGGAGAAAGCCCACACTGGGTGGTAGTTACAGAAATAAATAGGAAGGGACCGCAAACATTCCAGCAGAATTACCTAAACATGGCTGTTTTCACTGTCAATAAAAGGCTGGAAACACACGGAAGCAGTCAGGGGTGGGAGCACCAGGCGGCCGTCCGGGGAAACTGAGTGATGTGTATATTCTAAGTCTACCGATGGCAGAAGTAGCTGATTGCAAAGCACACATAGAGCATGAATCCATTTGTATAATTACATTACAGTATGTGTGTTGACACCAAGTATTTAACTTATCTGAAAAAATGCGGACCAGACTGTTAACATGTGCAGAATGGTATTTACAAAGGTTCCCACTGACCGTGGCTATTATGTCGCGCAATTCTGTGCTGCTTGGTTATTTTTCTATAAGCATCTATTATTTTATAAGGTAATTTAAACAACCCAAGTTAAATATATCTCAGAAACATCAAGACTATACTTTTAACTCTTGCAATTATTTTAAAATCTATCACCCAAAAATCTCTTGACACAAAATAGGTAGACATTAAAATCTGAGTGCAATTTATTTACATTTTGACTAAAAATCTGATATGGTGACCCTTTGCGTTGGAATAGTAGTGATGCTAAGGAGTTTGGGAGAGCCTGGTCCAAAATCAGAGGCCCCTCCTTCAAGGGCGAAGCCACCGTTACACTTGATTTTCCCCAAGAGGCAGACAGCATCTTCCTATTAATGAGTAATGAAGACATTAATAATCCACACTCTGTAATCTCCTGGCGACGGTTGCAAACCGCAACTTCGTGGTTGCTTTTCCCACAGACACATATGCACGTGCATTTCATAGTTCATAAACCATTTAAAAGTGTGGCTGTGATGGCCACAGTGATGAAAACGAAACCAAAAATTAATCTGCCATTAAAAGCATATTACTTTAAAGAAAGCTATGTATCATAATTCCTTTTAAAAATGATTTTCTGAAGAAATAGTCTAACTGAAAATAGCCTAAACCTGAATCATTCTCTATTCCACTGTGTAATTAGGTCAAAAATAAGAATTTGTATGTTGTTATTTAAAATGAGGAATATAATTCTTTGGACTTCTTATAAGTACTGCCAACATCTTAACTTTGTCATTATCTCTGATGCTTCCGCAGGTGCCAGTTCAACAGATTCTGACAGTGAAAGTTTAGCTTTCAAGTTAAAAGGTGGAGCTATGCCACAGTAAGTGCCTACAATTCCGTCAATTATTTACGAACAAAGAATGGCAACAGAATAGTTGGGTCTGAAACTGCTTTGAAGGAAAAGGTCAAATGATGTCAATCAGAGATCAAATATTTGAAGTTCAACACAATTTTTTGACTTACAAATTTGAACTATGAAGTCTGCATTTCATCACTGACATGCTGCAATTTAACCATAAACAATGTTAGTTTCAAAGACAACTATCTGATTATAAATGTATGAAAAGAGCTGTCACATTGAGAGAAAAATCAGTTAAATCATCACTAAAATGTAAATAAGAACCAATTTATTTGAGAACCAATTTATTTCTACAAATTGGAAAATATCTATTTAGGCCAGAAATGGATTTTCATTCAGAGAAAATCTATTTCTATTTAGATCATGTACCTAAAAAATCACAGAATTTAGTCATTCCTACAAAGTCATGTGGGCTTTTAATAAAATGTTAATAGCTTAATTATTTAGCAAAGATAAAATCTATTGGAAATTTGTAGAAAACTTCATTCATATTGAGACTATGATAATAAATTCCTTTGATCTGCTAGTAATTCCTACACAGCAGTTATATGCATTCAGCATCAAATAGTCACAGCTGCTACAGGGACGTTATGAGACCATGTACTTTTCCGCCCCGATCTTAGATGCAGAGGTCAAGCTTAGAGAAGTTGCATGACTTGCTGGAGACCGCACCGCCAGCTACTTGGAAAGCTGGACCTGGAACCAACTCTTCTTGATCTTCTCTCTACACCTCACTAACTTTTACGCACTAGGAAAAGACAAAAATTCCAAGACACTCTCAACAAAATTAGAAACCAGAACAAAGAACAGCTGCTGGACTTAAAATAGACAACCAAGACTTTCAGTTAAATATAGGACCCTAACCCTACACATTTCAAATATCTGCCGACTGATAAAGATTGGATTTTTCCCAAATATTTTATCTTAAGATTTTCAAGTTTGATACTTTGGAATCCTCAGCAATGTCTGAGTTGCTTCTAGCTGCTTTTCTTTTATTCGTGTGTTTATTTTTGCTAAACGTCTATCCGATACAGTCTATGCGTATGCCGCCCACAGGTATTCTAGCGTCAGTTGCGAGCTCCCGTTTCTGAAGCAATTACAGTTGAAGCGGATGAGCATGTGAAAAGAAACCCAGATTTTCTGTGGAAATGTGTCAAAGGATAATTCCTGCTAAAAAAGATTCTGACTCGAACACTTGCCTCCCTATTTTCCAGAGCTCAAAAGAAAACCACTTCCGTGTCCTTGACAATAGGAGCATCATCTCCAAAGACAGGAGTGACCACAGCTGTGATTCAGCCGCTGTCTGTCCCTGTTCAGCAGGTAGGTGCGCCTCGGCCTGGGCCCGCAAGGAGGGGAGCTTGTTAGCAGGCTTCTTGGTTTTAAGAACATAACTTTGATTCTAACTAGTAGTCTACCTCGAAATAGTTCCTCCATGGAAGCAGAACTGGGAGGAACGAAAATGGTAGATAATGCTCTTCCTTCTCATCCCCCAAAAATAGCCTTTAACCAAAGCCACACACCCATTGTCAGCTCTGCATTTCCCCCGGGAACCTCTTTCTCGCCCAGCTGATGATCTGATTAAATGGTGTCTGTTTTAGCCGTAACTATTTGGCTGTTCCCTCACATGTGTACGCTCTCCGTTTAGCCAAATTCATTGGTTCATCTCAAACAGATTAAAAGGCAAGAAAAGTCCACATGCCAACGAAAAGTTTTCCCATTCCTAAATCTAAGCAGATAAGAAAAAACAGCTCAAGTCCCTTGACTTCACCACGCTTTTTGTTCCTGCTTTTATTTCGTTGCAAGACTGCGTTAGCCAAGAAAGAACAGTACTATAAACTACCGGAAAGTAATTGTAGTGAGCTTACTTTGCAAACACTAGCAACATGAACTTTTTTTTAACAAGTAAAAAATGTTTTATCTAAATGTCTCTAAATCATGATGATACGATGAATATCGTTAAAGACAATACCCAATGAGGGGTTTTTCCCCACATTCTTGCGGTGTGAGCTCATTCCTAGCTAGGGACTATGTCCTGTGGCCGTCACTTGCTTGCCGTCAGCCTGTATGATCCATCGAGTCCTCAGGGGTGTTTTAGCAGCTACAGTGTGTGACGTACACTCTGCCATGTGTAGAAAATGCAAACAGTAGAGAAAAGACATTCGTGCCCATAAACTTGAATCAACCAGGATAAGGTACTCCGAGATGGCATATAATACCCCTACACCAGAGTGACTTTTACAGAAATATTTCTGATTAAATCAGTGGGTTTTTTTAGGGGGGAGGGGGGTTGGTGTTTGATGTTTAAATAATGGTAAGTTTCTGTTGAATGCTTAGCACTGAGGTAGGAGTTTCATGGCTGAAAAAAAAAGTGACCAGCCCCATTTTCAAACAGTTTACAAACTAGTCTGAGAAATAAAAAACACACACAAAACACTTCTTAGATATGACAGAACACGTTGAGGTGTAACAGGGAAGCCTAAGAACAGAAAGATGTGCGTGCATCTCAACGTGTACTTGTCATTCTCATGCAAAGAGCACGTCTCTAAGTTGTTTAAGTTCTGCAGGAACATGGAATGGAATGCAATATATCCCACTCGTGTAGTTGGAAGAATGAAGTGCTCAGAGAGACTCCGTCACTTGGCGATTGTGGGCAGTGTGACATAAAGGTTAGGGCTCTGGAGCCAGACTGCTGGGTGTTTTTTTTTGTCGTTGTTGTTTGTTTTTTTTTTGAGACAGAGTCTGGCTCTGTCACCTGGGCTAGAGTGCTGGAGCATCACCCTAGCTCACAGCAACCTCAGACTCCTGGGCCCAAGCGATCCTCCTAACCCCAGCCTCCCGGGTAGCTGGGACTACAGGTGTGCCACCACCGCCTGGCTAATTTTTATTTAGTTGTCCAGCTAATTTCTTTCTATTTTTAGTAGAGATGGGGTCTCACTCTTACTGCGGCTGGATCCTCCCGCCTCAGCCTCCCAGAGTGCTAGGATTACAGGCGTGAGCCACCATGCCGGGGCCTCAGACTGCTGGGTTTGACCCCAGTTCTACCACTTCTTAACTAAGGGAACTTAAGCAGATGGTGTAGCCTCTCTGTGCCTCGTTTATTCATCTGTAAAATGAAGGTGATTTTACCACCAATCCCACAGGGTTGTCGTGGAGACTCAGTGAGTTAATCTTCATGTGACATTTAGAACAGTACCTGGCACAGAGTAAATACTATAAAAGTGTTCATATATTCTTTGGACATAAAAAAACAGTGAAAGTGAAACCCACACCTCCCGAATCACAAGCCAGTGGCAAGTCCTCCAGGGGTGATGAACGAGGCCCCTCCCGCCCAGCATCCCTGCACCTCTGCCAGCATTCGCGACAGCCCGTGGCAGGGTCAGACACAGTCCCAGGTCACCCTCATCTCGGGTTAAGACGCTAGCAACCACTTATCTAAGTGAATAAATCCAGATTAGTTGAAAGTAAGTGATTGTGCACAAAGAAATATTTTCCATCCACGAGTCTGAAATCCTTGCATTTCCCTAGAGACGAGTGCCATTCAGTAAGTGTTTCGGCACCTTTATGTTGGTTTTTGCACATCAAGAAACAAATAATATGTATTCCTTTCCTCCTCTTTTCCCATAATCCCTGTATCAAAAAAAAGAGTGGACGTTAAAAATAAGATAGGTAGATATTTACTTTACCCTCCACTGCCAATAGCTGATGCTTTTAATTTAACGAATCCAGGCTGTACTTAAAAATGTAAAGTCTGGGGAACTGTTCAAAAGACCCCTGTGGACGTCCCACACACAGAAATCTGTTTGGTAATAGTGTCTAACAGCTCGTGGCTCCCCACAGACCCGGGAACTTTCACCTTGAATACCCTTTAGAGCAGAGAAGAGACACAGACGCGAGCTGCGGAGGGGAATGGCGTCTGCCCCGTGAGAGCTGCGGGCGGGGACTTCGAGCCGCTCGTTCGGCTCAAGCGGAGCGGTCCCCGCGGTGAGAGGCTGCTCTGCTAGAGCCCGTCTTTCCAGCAGTTTATGCGTTTGGAATTTGATCCACGCATCTCTGCTTTTCCAGGTTCAGAGTCCGACGTCGCATCTCTGCCAACCGGATGGAACCGCTGCCGCCCCGTTTCCTCCTGTTTTCACAAAGGTCTGACATCTGGAAGTCTCGTTCCCTGGGCTTGCCTTGGTCCTCAGAGCCCACCCCCGCGTGGCTGCGGGGAGCGGCCTTCACAAGCTGAGGGGGACAGACCAGCAGGCTGATTATCACGGCCACCTTGAGGCCAACTAGAGATGGGTGGAGCGGCTGTCGGGTGGCAATGATCTTGTGACAAGTCCGAAAGCCGTGGGTGTGGGCAGGGGCCTGACAGAGCTCAAAATCCAGTGGGAAAGCCAAAATGGGTAGGAAAGACGAGACACGATACTGTGGAGGAAATCGCGTGGGAGATCTGGCAAGTTTTGTGGAAATTCGGGAAAATTGACTAATTTTCAATTTGTTCTGAGCCATTGATTCATGTTGCCGGGCTGAATGACACCCATTTTGTTGTCAGCCACCCCAGTCAGAAATGGTTCTATGTAACATTTCTTCTCCTTCTTTTTTTTTTAGAGAAAATTATAACACTTTATTGAAAGACATTTTAAAAGGCCCAAATAAATAGATAATGCCATGCTTGTGGACGGAAAGATGATAAGGAAGTCCCCACTCCCTGATTAGCAGTCTGTGCTTCATGCAAATCCAGCTAAAATTCCAGCATAGTTTTCTTGTTTTTATTTATTTGTTTGATACAGAATTTAGCAACCTGATTCTAAAAGTTGTGTGGAAGAAAAAAGTGGCTAAAAGTAGCCAGGGTTCCCCGGCAGAAGGAAAACGAGACGGTGTTACACGGGAGTGGAATTTGTCCTGTAGGGTGTCAAGACTGTTTCTGAGAGGTGTGGGAGCTAGGGTAGGGTAGCGTAGTGCTGGCTCGGGGCTGGAGAGCTGAGGAGTCGTCGGAATAGAGCCCACAAAGGAGCCCCGGTCCCTGCAGAAACCTGCAGATCACTGGGGAAAGAACGAGTTCCTCAGCAGAGGTGACAAAAGGTTCAGTTGGACGCCGGCCTCACGCTTTTCACCACAATCAGTTCCAAGTAAACCAGAGACGAATGCGAAAGTGAATCTATCAAAACTTTGGTGAGGGAGTAGAGAAAAGCATCTTTAGTATCTTCATGTAGGAATGACTTTTTCCCTCCTGAATCCAAGCGTTGTCGAAGATGTTTTCATAAGCAGTGAATTTTAATAATATTTCCGGCCAGGCCCAGGCAAAAAGTGACAACTGTTGATAACAACGTCTAAACTCCCCTCCTAGATAGATTGTGAAAGAAAGAAAGAGAGAGAGAGAGAAAGAGAGAGAGAGAGGGAGGGAGGGAGGGAGGGAAAGAAAGAAAAAGAAAGAAAGAGAAGGAAAGAAAGAAAGAGAAAGAAAGGAAAGAAAGAAAAAGGAAAGAAAGAAAAAAAAAGAAAGAAAAAGGAAAGAAAGAAAGAAAAGAAAGAAAGGAAGAGAGAGCAGGACACGTATAACCCTACCAAAGGCTCCCAGTCAGCACAGTAGCCGTGCGTGTGCCCGGGGGCCGGGGCAGGAGTGTGCGCGGAGGCCGGACCGCCACACCGGCATGTGGTACAAGAGCTTGGCACAGCAGCTGCTCAAGGTCACACCGCGTGCGCGCTGCCTGAGGTCCTGGTGACCAAGGCTCTGCTGGCTGGGGCCTCTCCATCTAAACAGACAGTGGACATCCATGCTGGTGGCATAGGGGAGGGAGAGACGGTGAAGTTTCACTCTCTGTCATCCCGGGGCTCCACCACGGTGGCCTGCTGTGTGGGATGTCATGGAATTCCTCCTGGTCACCAAGGGGAAGTCTCGAAAACTAGAAACAAACCCCGTTTCCTCATTGTGTTCTGGATCCTGAGACGTAGAAAGTCTGTTAGTGGCTTTGTCCCTGCCGCAAAAGAAAACCACAGAGGGTTCTATGCACTAACAGCATGGCTTAAAAAAGTAAAACGAAATTCTATATTTTTATATAGGTTGATTTCAAAGCAATCTCAAACCGCAGAGCCGCTTCCCTGGCGTCTCTGGCCTCCCGCTCTCCGTGCCTGGACCTGCAAACATTCCGGGTTCTGCAGGGCTGTTCCCGGCCTCGCTTTCCCCAGCGTCTCTCCCTCTGTAGGCCTGGGCTCTGGTTTTGGAGGGGCAGGGGTAGAAAACAACCCTGCTGATCTCCGTAACTCAAACCAACCTTGGGTTTGACGCCCTCAGTCCCTTCCTCGGCCTGTCTCGGGCATGACGGTGCAGGGCCAGCAGGTGGGCTTTGCCCATCCTCGGGGTTCCTCCGTCTGTGTCCTCGCACTGCTCTGGAAAAGACTCCCAGGTCCCAGCTGGTTGGAGCAGAGCCGCGCCTCCGGGCAGGGAGGAGGGCTCGGCCCAGGCAGCAGAGCTGCATGTGGGCTGTGGGCCTCTGGGTGCTGAGGACACACGTGTGGCCAGAACGGCCACCCCCACGTGGCATTTCCTCCCAAATGGTCAGACCCTCCAAGGGATCTCAGTGTCAGGGACTTGAGGAGAGGCCCTTACATGCATCCTAAACACCCAGGCCCCAGAGTCTACACTGGGTGATTGGCCTGCCTGTGCAGCCTCCAGGGGTTGACGTGCTGTCTCCTGTGGGGTCCTCTTGTCGTCTCGAGGGTCTCCTGGAAGCTCACTGTGTTTGGCCATCGCTTTTTCCAAGATGAGAAAAGTTTGTTCCAGGAGGAGCCAGATTATAAGCCTGGCACAATTACGGAGCTTTGAGTGCTCAAGTTCCTGGGCATCCACCCATGTCCTACATCTCTGACTTTCCAACACTGAAAAAAAAAACAAAATGCATAATTTTAGGGATAATCGAAGTCCCATTTGGTGCCTAAATGCTCAAATGTGAAAAATATTTGGGTACCATTTGAAATATCCCCTGAGTGGCTTCCTGGACAAGCCCGGAGACATTTAACAGGCTGACTGCCGAGTGAGTTGTATTTAACCCAGGCTAGCTTTGAGCGCAGGGCCGCGTGAAGCAAAACCCTGCATTTGGTTCATGAAAATCGTACTTGTTGATGTTCTTATTGTTACAGTTAATAATGACAATTTAATTCTAAAAACATGGATTGCGTTGCATATAAGTCATGCACAGAAACCAATAAAACATAACAAATTAGAAAGGATCCTTTTGTTTTAATAAAACACCGTGGCCCCAGGAAAAATGTTGTTTTCTAGTGTGGCCGTGAGTGCATTAACAGGTCAATCCATAGGAACTGGACCCCGTGAGTAACACTTACCCTGTTGTGATCCACTAAATTAGCTCTTTTCTGGACCCAATTAAAGTTAAAAAATTGATCTAAAAACAGAGACTTTCTACATTTTAAAAATAAGAAAGGAGAAAGAATACAATCAGAAATAGTTGGCAATCTTAATCTTTTCACTTGGAAGAAAAAAATCATTCTTGTTAACTACCAAAATTCTCATCAAACGTCTTCTCAGACACCGCGTGAGGCTTTCTGGTTCTCCTGCTGACGTCGTAGACTTAGAGCTTCCCAGGCTCTGCACGCTCAGGGCAGGACACCTGCTATGGGGATGTCATTTATTGTCCTCTCAGATAATTCAAACCAAACCAAACCAAACAAAGCCCACACACACTTCCCGATGTCAGTGTGCTTGCTTTTGGTCTAGGGACAGGTAAAGTACTTTATTACGATTGAATTATTTCGAGAGTCCTGTGTGCTTTACGTTAGACCCGGTACTCTACAATCAGAAAGTCTAAATGAGCCCCTTGCTAGTTAATCCTAGAGGAAGAAAGAGGATACATATGCAGGAACTATTAATGTCCTGATATTCAATAACAAGTATAAAAGCTTTACCTCTCTGCATCTGTAAAGCCACATTAATTTCTAATCTGTTGGATCGTAAAGATTTATTGGTCTGGAGTTGGAGTGGGGTGAGGGACAACAAAGGCAGTAGCAGGGAGGAGGAAATGAAGACCAGCAAGGGAGAAAGGCTGCATGTTTATGGTCTTACTCAGAATCTCAAAATGAGAAAATACCGAAACCCACGCGCTTAGCAAACCTGACGTAGGGAACTAGGTGGGCAGAGGTGGTGGGAGGTACAGACAGGAAAAGGTCAGAGCATGCGAAAGCAAATGCATGCGTTTTTTTCTTTTATCTGGTTTTCATGAGAATATACATTCATTTGGAGTGTGGCAGTGTTAAGAAGTGCGCAGATAGAGAAAGGTAACAGTGGTGACCAGCAAATTCCATAAATTCGAAAGAGTCAATGCAAATTTGCAGGCAGGCCAGAGAGTTCTGCAGGGCTCATGGTCAACCTTACTCATTTCATGACACAGAGATTGTGGAGAGCTGTTGGTCGGCGGGTGCAAAGGTGTTTGTCCTTACCTGAGTTAGCGGTCATTATTTTATGATGCATTTTGTATTTTGTTTCTTGTCTATAGTTTGGATTTTTTATTCTGCCCCGTGAAATTGCTTAAAAACCCAGCGAAGTCTGACAGGTGCGTCTGCCTTGAATTTCAGGAGCTGCAGAACACCACGGCGGCCGAGGGCCGGGTCGTGGTCCTGGAGTGCCGGGTGCGGGGCGCGCCCGCGCCGCAGGTGCGGTGGTTCCGGCAAGGGAGTGAGATCCAGGACTCTCCAGACTTCAGAATTCTACAGAAAAGTAAGCAGAGGCGCCGTTTCCCCAAATCTGACCATTTTATTCTGGCTTCAGGAAAACCAAGCAGGGCCGAGCCATTCGGATGAACTGAATTCTATTTCCAGAGGGTGGTAAGACCGGATAGATAGTCCACACGGCGTGAGAGCCAGTAAAGTAGAACCGCGGCCCCTTCGAAACCCTGATGAAAGTTATATGTTCTTTCTTCAAAAAAAGTGCATATATACACCGGGACTCAAAGTTGGGCAAATAATTTAGGGGGTTCACAAGACTACTATAGCCCAACTATAAGCTGCAGTTTCAAAAGCTCCCTAGAGTAAGCTGTTACTAGAATTCGAGTTTCCACGTTTACAGAAATATAGCTGATCTACTGTCACTGTCACTATCTCTTTTGGGTTTCGGGGTTTGACTGCAACATTTCTGCAGGCATGACCTGGGCAAGGCTGTAGAAGCGGATTGGTAGGTTTGTTATTTGATGGAACCCCATTCTAATACTGCGTTCTGATTTATTTTATTTTATTTTTTTCATGTGGCAAACAGAACCCAGATCTACAGCTGAACCTGGTAAGGATCTCTTTGTGCGGGGAGGGAGGTAACGTGTCTGTGGGTTTCAATAGTTCTTTGTTTCTGCTTTAAAGCCATAAGCGGAACAATGTTTTTGCAGTTCCCTGGAAACGTGAAACCCCCTTAAAGACAATATCTCCTTTATCATGGGGTCAGTACGCTGCATTTTACATCAGCTTCTTTATTAGTGAAACATTAAGTTCCATTCAGACAAGAAGGTCGGGCTCAGTGACTTCAGGCTTTTTTAAATATAGTCTTTTATGCTCAGAAAGCAAACTGAGCTAATGGTGGAAAAACATCCTCCTAAAATTCCGGCAGAAAAGAACAATCTGCCGTGCACTCCCCCAACCCAAACGGGAACCACCGGACACCTGGGCTTAGGAGCGCTCAGAGAGCATGGCCCCCGTCACGGGCAGACTGACCCCGGCGGGTCTCCTTCGCCTGCCCTGAGCCGTGACTCTTGCTGCTCTGCATGAAGCAAGTCATCCTGCCCTAGGGGCCCTCAACGACCAGGTCACCCGACCTCATCAGAGCGCTCCGTGTTCCCCGGCCTCAGTCTTCTCGTATATTTACGACTCCTCGAGGACTGAAACGGTGTTTGTAAAGGAAACAAAACTTTTACGGAGGTATTTCCTAGTATGTCCTCCCTGAGACTATTTTCTTTTGTATTTTTCCCATCAGCAAAGTCACAGTGCCACTTATTTCTTAGCAAAGGCTAGAAAAACAAGCCACTTTCCTGTTTGTGCCTCTGCTCCCGTGTCAAGCAGATCTGGCCACATGTGCCTTACGAGCTGTGACCTTGCTCTGACCCTTCTTGGGGATGTGAATGTTCTCTCTGGGCTGCCACGGGTCAGATGACGAGGTCAGTCCCTGAACCTCTCACACCTGAGTTTGGGGTCTTAAAAGCAGTGTATGGCCCTGTTCGGGTCCACAGCGCAAGGGAGGCTGGGTAGCGTCCTTGGGGAAGAACTGGAATTGATCCACTGTCCTCTTGTTGTGAGTTACCACTAGAGCAGCCACCCACCGAAGGTGCCAGTCACCACGTCAAATACTGCGGTCCCTTTCCCGCCCGTGGAAACACAACTGCACATTTTGTCTGTGGTATGTCTTCGTATGAAATGGCATGATGCTAGTTCCCTGACACGTGGGACTTCCGAGACTAAATAAATCTACTGCATTAGCTGTTGCGGAAACCCTATAGGGAGTCGGGACACATCTTTTGCTTTTACTATTTTAAGTAGACTTTAAAATATAAAGAAAAGTAAAAGTAGGAACTGAACATCTCTTTTATCTCCAAGAAATAGCTTATTATGTGAAGCAAACCTATAAAGCAACTGATGTCTTTTAATGTTTTATGTACAAATAAGACTGAAACCTTGAGCCAAAACTTCTGCAAACGTTATTACTGGGATGGATTAAGGCTGCTTTTGATGTTGCATTTAGGACTCTGAGCAAATTCATGCAACTCATTCTTCATCATGCTGTTATCCATTGTCATTAAATGGACATCTATTAAATGTCCTTCATTAAAATGTCTCCCATAATCTCGGTTGGAAAATCATAAACTAACCATCATCTAAAAATTCAAAACATTGGTTAGAGACTGCAGTTTCAAGTATGTGCATATTTGAAAGTTGGAAACACTCAGAATATACTGGCTAATGAGGAATAAATTTGGATAAGGAGGGAGACCCCTGTGCCCCACTCCCCACTCCTCACCCCTTACTCTGCATACACCCCTCTCTTTCACTTTTGGTTTGCTGTTTTGCTTCTAGAATATAGTTTTGGTCGTGAATTATTTAATAAAATTCATCCTAAGCAACTTCATGGAGTCACTTGACCTCTAGAACTTGCTTAAATGCCTTTTGGGTTAACATGGCAAAATCATGAAGAAAAGAACAAGACAGGGAAGGCCTTCCTTTCAAACTCCTTGTCCTGGCAATGTATAAAAATGTTTCCTCTCCATGTTCACTGAATTTTCTTATTTTTATTTTCCCTTTAGTTAGATCTGGAAGTATTTAAGAAAACAGACTCCTCCATTCCAACCACAATAATAGCATTTGCTGAAAACAAATTTTTCTTGGCAGAGAAATATTTCAAGCTAATCTGTCAATATAAGAAAAAAATATATATAGTCAGGAGCTATTGATAACTATCACAACAAATTTTCCCTGACCCCTAGTAACTTCTCCGCAATTACACGTACCATGGCACTGCGAGAATCGCCCCTTCTCCTTCGCAGGGAAGCGTCACCCTGCTCCACTTCAGGACATCTGCAGTTGGCATGCAGCGCTGAACAAAATCTCTGATCACATTTTTTAAACAAACAAAAAAACCGTCAAACACGTGAATGACTGCTCAAGGGACTGCTCATGTGAGTGGTTATGAGTAAGAACCTCAGAACAAGCAAATGTTAAAGCGTATTTGTATTCAAACAAAGCTTTGGCATGCCTGACAAAACCAGGTCTGATTCTTCCACCAGTTGCCAAGCGTTTCCTTTACGTTGACCTTGAAGTTGCTCTGTCAGGGGGAAAAAACAAAATAAATATGATCGTCTACTCTCCATCAATGGGCTGATTGACCATTACGTCTAATGGGCCCCCGAACCGTCTGACTACGTAGAATGTGTCACTATGTAGGAACTGGCTTCCGGGTAGCTCTTTTCTAGCCCTTGTTAAGTGGAAAGGAGAAAAACACACATGACTGCAATACATCTGAGGCAGGAGATAAATTTTATAGGACTAGGTCAGGGATATTTTCCAAATGCTAAACATAAATAGCCTTTGAAATCCAGGAAAATATTCAAGCATTCAGATTGCATCGTCCTCCCTGTGTCCTGTCTCCGCTTCTCCTGACATAGTCACTCTCTCCTTGGTGGCCGGCTTTTGTGAGAGCGCCTCTCCCTCTCTCTGACACACACACTCCCTCTTCCTTCCCTCCCTCCTTCTTCTCTTTCCCCATCTCCCTCATTCTTTTAATCTCTTTTTTCTCTTCTCTTTAATGTCTTTCCTTATTCATGCGCAAGATGTTTTAAAGTTCTAGAAATAAAATTGAAATTCCCTAGTATATAGCCCCATTAGCGATTAGATGTTTAGATAAAGAAGGAAATAGCAGGTTCCCTCCCAATGCATTTGTGCAACTGAAACAGGTTTTTCTCGTCACTGCCGTGTTGTATCTGTCTAATGTGTTTTACACTCCCCGGTCTGTCTAGACAGAAGTCGGCTTGCACCACAAATCTTTTCAGATCGTTTTGTGAATTAATAGCTAGTCAGCTTACTGAAGACCAACATCCGTTTGTCACATTACCTCTCTGGCCTTCTTCTTTGACATGCTGACTCTACACTGATTGATTTCTTCAGCGCCTGGTCTGGGGGTGGGGACGGAAGACTCGCTGGACAGCTGTGAATGCTCAGGCTCTTACTCAGCTGTCTGCAAACAGCCGCAGACCGCACTGAGTTACTTCTGTGTCGTTGTCTAACGACATGCAAATTACAAGCACAGACCGCGTCTTCCTGGTTGGAGAATTCACGTATAAACGTATGGCACCTCCTGCTTTCACTGTGAATCTCTGCTACCCAGTGTGATCCACCCTAGGTCTTGTACGGTACAGTCCACGTTTTGATTCTGTGATTCAAAGCCAAGTACTTTATACTTAGCTGACTGCACTAGGTGTGAAGTTGTAGGAGGGCCATGCTGGGGATGTGTCTTGAGATCCCAGCAGATTGTGCACAGTTAGAAACTTAATGCAGGTTCTAGGTTAGGATGGTGGGTTGAACAAAGGGTTGTAGGACAAAAGTAGGCTGTGTAAAACCTGTGGTTCCCAAACTGTGTGACAAGGTGCCCTGGAGCGGTGTACCAAACTGGCAGGGCGCTGTAATACGTGTGAAGTTTTTGATGCAGACACATTGAGATTGACATCTGACAGATAGGACACAACTGCTAGCTTGAACTAGTTCAGAATGTCAACACTAGATCACCCTCCACTCTTTCCTATGACGTCATATCTTTGTGAAGCTGAGTTTTTGATGGGTGTGTGATAAAAAGCAAGTGCCGCGTGAAAATGCACGTGAAACGTGCCGTGAGGCCGCTGGTCCGGTGTGGCTCCAGAGAGGCTGCACGGCGCCCTCCGCATGCGCACATCCCTCAGCAAGTAGGCGTGGTTACTTAGGAATAAAGTAGTATCTTTCTTTGAATTCATGTGTATTTTCTCCAACAGTACCTAACTTGCTTAGATATAAATACTTATAAAATTCTTTGGAGATAACTACATAATAAATGGAACTATTATTAGGTATGTCTTTTAGAAGCACCATAAAAGAGTTACTAAGATATTTAGGGTCCCGTGAACCAAGGAAGGTTTTTTTAGTCTTTGCAGGCAGGGGCGGACTCCAGGCACTTCTGAGTGCACAACCACAAAGAAAACCGAGTGACTCTGAACTCTAACGGCTGAACGTGCCTCTTCCCAGCCCTCTTCCCGCGCTCACCTTCTGAAATGCTGGCCTGTCAACTTTGCCTCCTTGGCAGAGACTGAGGGACTTTTCTCTGAGCAATCTAAACATCCCAAGAGAAAAAAAAAATTGTAGGTAATGATTTAGGAATTTCTCCTGTAAAGATGCCACCTAGATTATGCTACAGGGGAGGCCAAAGCCGCCAAGTTCCTCTCTTGTGCTCAGAGCTTCTGGTCAACTCACAACCATGTCAGACGAGCAGAGAGGAGAGAAATCTGAAGAAAACCTCTAACATGAATGACGTAGAGGAGAAATTAAAAAGCAACTTTCCCGAAAAGCAACTTAGACAAAGCAAATTTGCAAAGAGAAGAAAATATTATATTAATATAAGACAAAACAAAATCTCTCCTGAGGAAGATAAGAAAATCAGTGCATCCAAGAAGTAAAAATGAAAAGCTATTTAAAAAAATGGAAAGGGAGGATATTTGGAAAACAAAAGGAGTTCTTGGAATGAAAAAGTTGGTAGCAGAAATCGAAGTTGAGAAAATGTCCGACAAAGAAGGGATGTAAGAGAGAAACGGAAGAAAATCAGAGAAACCAGAGAACCAGCCCAGGGTTCCAGGAGGAGAGAAGGAAGAAGGGGCACAGAAGGGATTATCGATAAGATTATCAATAAAGTAATTCAAAAAATGTCCCCGAACTGGGGGCCATCAGTTTCTAGATTGAGAAAACCCACCGAGCGCACGATGTTTGGCACAAACTCAGAGCGGTGCACATCATCGCGAAATTCAGAATATCCGGGACAAGGAGGTCATGTTACAGGTGTCCAGGGAGAAGACTGTACAAACTGTGAGGATCAGGAGGGCGTGGCCTTCTCAGCGGTCACACCAGACACAGAGACACAGCGAAACAAGACCTTCGAGATGCTCAAGGAAACCTTCAGGGAAGCTGAAGCTGGTTTATGGCCCAGGATGGTGCCTGGGAGCTTGTTTCTAACAGTGACAAGATTGCCTTTTCTTTGCATAACACGATTGGTGCTTGATACCCAATTTTTTAAAACTAAAGAATGCATTTCTTAAGGATACACACATATGGTGCGAACATATAAAGAAAATCAAAGGAATTAATATCTCAGTAGAAGAAGGAAGACAAATTGGGGGGCATACAAGGCATTTCTGAAGCGTCGGTAATAGTGCATTCCTCAGGCTTAGTGATGGGTGGGCTCCTTTCATTGTCATTCCTGAGATTAGGCATTTTAAATATCCTTCTCTACATATGGTAGGGTTCACAATTTTTAAAAATCCTTCATAAATGCTAATAAAAGCATTGCATTTACCCACACTGAATTTCGTCTTGTTGCTTTTAGTCCAGAGCCCTTTTTGATCAACTGTGGTGGCCAAGCCATGTGGTTTGAAAGGTGAAATCTGGCTTCCTTTTTAGTTACTCTGGGGGAAAAAAGGGAAGGAAGACATTTATGAAAACGACCCCTTATTGCGCAGGGGACCTAGTAATCGTATCCTCGCTGCCTCATCATTTTATGAGTTTTCACCAAAAAAAAAAAAAAAATGGTTTTTATGTTTAACAAAGTGTTAAGTATGTCCAAGAAAAATGAAATTCAGGGTCTCCTTCTGGGAGATATTACTGTGATTAAGTAATTTTTAGGTAACTGCAAAGAACAGAATTTATCATCAGTAAAAATGGTTTCTGATTTAGTAATTTAGTATCTGCCCTCAAGTTGAAACCATGGGAAATCAAACTCAGGAAAACTGGATTAAAATGGATCATAATTAAAGTTATTATACTTTAAATGTTTCCATTTATACTAGAGACAATTGTTTTTAGTACAGATGAGCTTCTAACTCCCTTTATTTGACATGAGCAGTCATTTCCTGATTTCCATTCCTTACCAAAATTTATTTTACAGACGTTGTATAAGTCTTTGTTCAAGTAAGATGCTACCAGATGAAGATTCAGTATTGCAGCCTGGCTCGTGTCATTCCCTCGTGGCTTTCCTCGTTTCTATACTGTCAGAACCACGCAAGCCAGGCTGCTCCTTTCTCTCAACAAAATGGGAGCATGTTGCCACTGTTGGATGAAATTTTCCAAGAGAAGAAAAGCTGAACAAAGTTGGAACGTCGGATGAAAATTTTATCTAGTAAAAAATCACTGACATATCAATGCATGAAAATCACTGAAAGAACATTCCAGTGCTTATTTTTCTTTCCTTTTTTTTCTTTAAGTCTGTAACTCTTCCAGATGTTCAGTTGGTCATCACCTATATACAGGCATGTACCTTATTTTATGCATAGAAGTATTCCTGAAAATTCATGTAAAATGGATTCTGTTCGATCACAATTGAAACACATAAAGGAAGCTTGTAGAAAAATCAGTCTTACCGAGAATTCCTTTAGAAAACTGTCTTTTTGTAAAGCAAGTGTTTACTTTTCTCCTCAATCCAAACTTCCCCCGTGCATTTATTCAAAAAGAATTACGGAGAGCCTGTCATGAAGATGCTGAGAATATGGCCATGAACAAAAATGCTTTCTGCTCTAAGAGATTATATTCAAGTCAGGGAACCAGAAACTAACAAACTGGCTGCACGATAAATTATTTAATTATAGCTGCGATACATGTCGCTGGGGAAAGTTCGCCATCCTGAAGTCGCATGTAGGTGGTAAATCTGATCAAGTCTAATCAAAGAAAGGACGCTCTGAGAAAGTCCTGTTTGTGGGGAAACACCAGGCTGAGCTGGGGAGCACTGAGCGCTCCGGGACGTGGCTTCACGGAGGAGCCCAGAGCTCCGAACGCAAGGAGGAGAGAGGCGGGGGCCGGATCGTGGAAGGCTTCGTAGCCCAAATTATGCATTTGGAATTTATCCTCCAAGTCATGGAAGGATGAGGCGATGATGAGATTTCATTCTTAAAAGAGCCCTCTGGTTTAGAAGGTGCGGCTACACATACGACCTCAGGTTTTCTGAAGACGGCATAACAAAAGGAACCTCGACATCACAGACGGTGTCAGGAGGAACTCTGTACGAGTGGTCCGGGTCGTCACTCCAAAACCGCTATGTGTCGTCCCTACCAGATAAAACCCTACCTGTCTCGAAACGTGGGTTTCAGGCACAGAAGTGTGTCTGTTCACAGTTGGAGCATCCCAAGTCCCTCCAGAAACCGTCTTTCCAGGTGCAGATAATCCCAGGTCGAGAGACCTTTCCAGAGAGCGCCGGGCCCTCGAAGGTCGTACAGGGACCCAGGCCGTGGCTGTCCAGGCCGGAAGCACCTGGGTGTTACTGAAAGTCGGGAAGCTTCCCTGCTCTCAGCAGCATCTGCTAAAGAAGGACAAAGGTGACCTTCCGCTGCCTGGAGCCTGTCACTTGACGCCTCCTAACAGCGGGCTACTGAGCATGTCCACACTGCGAGGTACTTTTGACTGAGCTCATACCCTATTCCAGTGTCTCGTATATCTTAGAGAACATACAGCTTGTCTCCTGGTGCAGGTGAATTTCTAATAAATTATTTGGATAATGAGGAGAATACTTAAAATTTTCAACATCAGGAAAATCCCTGGTTCTCAACTTAAATCTTTTGTTACCTCACTTTACGTCAGGTTTATGATGTCCTGAACTAGGAAAAACTACAGAAAAACCAGAGAGGCCGTGTGCTCCGGGACAAAGTGCGCGTGCGGGAGCAGGACACCTGCCCCCAGCAGCCTGGCTGCGACATTAGCGAGCCGTGACCGGGAGAGTCCCCTGGACCCGCCGCAGGAGGGGGGCCTCCGTCATCCTCGCGACACTGATGTTCTCAGTGGTGCTTGGCCTTCTCCGGTTGAGCGTGCTTTTATCTCACTCTGTGACCATTCGTATTCTGTCTAAAAATTCCCAATCCATCGCCCCTTTCCCGAGACATCCGCCTCCGCGATGATTAGTCTTACGTGAATCTCCACCTTGAATGATTTCCACCCTTTCTGTCTTCCTCTTCGATTGAAAAGCCAAGAACTGTGTACAGTGCACTCAAAAACCACAGGACTACCTCACGCTCTGTTATTCTCTTGCTTTCCTTCTATTCGGTGAACTGTTAATCAAATCACAACCATGTGCCCCAAATGTGTCAGTACCTCTCAGACCTTCGTCGGGAAGCCCTTTCTTCAGGGTTCATCGACATGTACCGAGCAGGAGCTGTGCTGGCTGGACCAGGGCTGTGTTCTTAAACTGCTGCTCAGGACTCATGAAAGTGGGTGACAGCCACTACTTAAAAAATTAAATAGAATAAAAATGGTACAGTGCACCTTATGTGAATTCAAGTATTCTTTTGTGGAACTTTTATTTCCATTATATGTATGTATGTACATGTAGCTGTACATGCACCTGGGTTGGACATGAAGTATGTCTCTTCTTGGGTTTAAATCCTTTTTTTTTTTTTTTTAGGACTAAGTTCTCTATACTTTCCTCAAGATAAAAATCATCTGGAAAGGGCATTAAAAAAAATTCTTGGCCCCAACCCAGATCTATTGAATCAGAATTCTAGGGGAGAGGGGAAGGCTGTGTAATCAACATATCTAACAAATGTTCCAGGTGATTGTTATCATCAGACAGGTTCGGGAAACACCACAATAAAAGATTCAAGATTGAAAACATTCACAACACTCTCCACCCAATCATATAAATCCTGTAATGGTTGCCCCCCCACCACCAGAATAACCCAATCTTCTTGAGAAACTAAGCCACCTATTATATAAACTTAAATAATAGTTATATCTAGATATAACTGTATCTACCCTGATAAAGTATATCCAGGGTCAAATGTAGGATAGAAATAAAACTAGAGTAATACAGTGTCCTGCCTATTCCATAGTTGCTACTTAACGTTTCTATCTTTGTTTTTCTTCATCTTTTTAAATAAAAATCACCAATTTAAAAGCATCAAAATAGCTGAAATGTACATTATACTTCATAGTTTTTTAGATTTTATTTTTTATATTTTTTACTTTATTTTAATTGACAATAATTGTATGTATTTATGGGGTACGGTATAATGGTTTGATGCATGTATACATTGTGGAATGATCAAATCAAGCTAATTAACTATTGATCACCTCAAATATTTACCATTTCTTTGTGATGAGAACATTTACAGTCCAGTCCTTTAGCTATTTTGAGATATACAATATAGCATTACTAACTGTAGTCACCATGCTGTGCAGTAGCTCCCCGGAACCTATTCCTCCTGTCTGACTGAAGCTTCGTACCCTGTGGCCTTTCCCCAGGCACCAGCCTCCCTGTCCCCTCTCCCTGACCTGCCTCTGGTGACCACCATTCTACTCTCTGCTTACTTTAGAATCCACACGAGTGAGATCATGCAGTATTTGTTTCTCTGTGCCCACTTATTTCACTTAGTATAATGTCCTACGGGCTCATCCATGTCATCTCAAATGATGGAATGTCCTGACTTTTTAAGGCTGAATGGTATTGTGTACATGTACCACATTTTTTTCAATCCATTCACTCATTGATGCACACTTCAGTTGCTTCCATATCTTGGCTATCACGAATAATGCTGCAGTAAGCATGGGAATGTAGACTTCTCTTCAACATACAGATTTCAGTTCCTTTGGCTGTATACCCAGAAGTGGGATTGCTGAATCCCACTTCATAGTTTTACACATTTATTTCTGGTGTTTCCCCACAGTGCATCTTGAGATAGGGGACTGATGGGGATGCTGAGGTGGGCAGAGGTGAGCATGCCTCAGTTTACACACCTTCCCTCCCTATACACCACAGCCTCCTGTTTTATGGGATGTGATCTTAATTTGAACATTATTTATGGAAATACAACATTGAAATTATAAAGCACAGTATGTAACCTGGATTCAGAATTTCAATATCTTTCTCTTTTGTTCTTATCAATAGTAGAGAACCGAAAGTAAATATTCTGCTAGTATTAAACACAGTTGGCTTTGTTTTCCACCTAAGTAAACACTGGGAAAGGCAGAAAATTCTATAGAGTATTATTCACGTAAATCCACATTCACACTGGGTACAACAAATGTGTCTTTTAAAGGTCATTTTGATCATAAAATTTTAAAACATAACCAATGTTACTCATATGTGACAGCGGGCACCCTTGTCTTGTTCCAGTTCTTGGTGGGAATGTTTTCAGCTTTTCCCCACTCTGTACAATGTTGGCTATGGGCTTGTGGCTTTTAAAATTTTTAGATATGTCCCTTCTGTTCCTAGTTTGTTGAGGGTTTTTATCATGAAAGGGTGCTGGATTTTGTCAAATGCTTTTTCTGCATCTCTTGAGAGGATCATATGGTTTTTGTGTTTGCTTCTGTTTATGTGGTGATTTACCGCATACTGATTTGCGTATGTTGAACCATCCTTGCATCCCTGGGATGAAGCTCACTTGGTCATGGTGGATGATTTTTTTGATGTGCTGTTGAATTCGATTTGCTAGTATTTTATTAAGGATTTTCACATCTATATTCATAAAACATATTGGTCTGTAGTTTTCATTTTTTATTGTGTCCTTTCCTGGTTTTGGTATCAAGGTGATACTGGCTTCATAGAATGAGTTGGGGAGGATTCCCTCCTTCTCAATGTTACGGAATAATTTCTGCAGTAGGGTTAAGGCATGAAACAATAAGAATTCTAGAAGAAGATGCAGGAAAAAGTCTTCCAGATATCATTCTAGGCAAAGAATTTATGACTAAGACCCCAAAGGCAATTACAGCAACCACAAAAATAAATAAATGGGTCTTGATTAAATTAAAAAGCTTCTGCACAGTTAAGGAGAAAATCAAGAGAACAAATAGACAACGTACAGAATGGGAGAAAATATTTGCAAACTATACATCCAATAAAGGGCTAATATCCAGAATTGACAAAGAACTCAAAGCAGCAAGAGAAAAACAAACAACCCCATTAAAAAGGGTGCAAA